CAATGAGGAGGAACTTTAACCAGTTGCCATGGTCTGTAGCACTGGGAGAGTTTTGCTGCTAGGTAACTACATCTAGAATTTAATCAATCCAGAAACTAAAAGGGGGTGGCATTTATATTTCTCCTTGTCATGTGAGGTCTCACAGGAAAATACAAACCATCAATGAGTATGTCTTTAGCTAGAAAGGACCCGGGGAACCATTAATTCTTCTGCTGGTAAGTCACTCGAGAATTTTGTGTAAAAGAAAGAAGCAGTAGGATTTGTGTGTGCATGAACACACACACACACACACACACACACACACACACACATGCACAGACAAGAGTCTTTACCAAGTATTCACATCTTGAGAAGGATCTCTGAGACCTATTATTTCCTATTAATATCTTTTACTTGGATGAAAGGAACAAAATTGTGCTCCAATAGATTGTTATTCATATTTTGCAAAAGTATGATTAGGCTATGAATAATAGTGAGAAGGGAGGTAGTAATTAAGGTGCAAAGAATGGCCAATTTGACAAAACTGTGAGGATATAAAAAGGAATTTATCAATTGTATTATACATATATTAGTATGTATCATAATGTTCAGTCAACAATGGACAATGGTATTACTGGAAGGAAGAAGTACCATGGGTTAGATGGATGTTACTTAAATATGTTTATATTTTATTATAATCTTAGGAAGAATAACAATTTTTAGCTGCTGTGGCTGACCAGCAGACCCTGAGTGACAGATGAATGATTACTCTGACACAGGATTGCTGTGAAAGAGAGGGCTAAGAGACTGCCTGGCTAAAGGAACCAGACAGCCTTGATAGCCTGCCGCTTCAGGCTTTTATTGTAACAGCGGTTTGAGATAAAGTTTATCTATTAGATACAATCAGTAGGGTAAGTAATCTTGGGAGGACACATGTATCTGCAGTGTCTTTTAAGCAAGGACACTTAAATATTAAGCATAAAGATTCTGGTAAACACCTGGGAGCTCAGACTTGTTTGGAAAAGTCAAGGCAGGGTCTGCTGCCTTTGGCAAGGTCCTCCTAGAGGCCCCGGACCTTTTAGAGATTCCTTCTTACAGATTTCCAACCAAGTCTCCTGTGCTCTCCCACATTTAGCACCATGTAAAATGGAATAAAATCAAACTAGAAGGGTATCAATTGCAGATGGGATTATATGAAAGACAAAATAAAATACCTTCAGAATGCAAAGGAAATAATCCCAAAGGGATGGAAGAAGTCTTTGGGGGATGGTATACTATTTTCTCATAAGGCACAAACATCTGAATCCCCACATTTTTAGGACTGCAAGATAATTTTCAATTTCAGTCTTCATGTAGATGTATTTATGTCATAAGCTTGTATGAAAAATAGAAATACAAAAATATTTGCCTCAATAATGCAAACATATTAGCACATCTTTATGCAAATGAGAAATCTGGTACAAGCACAATGCCTTTTGACAATACTGATTTGTTACTTGCTTCTGTGAACAAAATATTAATAAATCCACTTAATGTTAAGACACTGTGCTACACACTTGGGAAACCTAAATGAATGATGGAGGCCTAAATAAATGAATGGTCTTGAGCACAAATTTAGGCAAAGTGGTTGGGGTAGAAATACACATTAGAAATTTGTCAAATTGCATTCAATAATTTGCATATCCATGCCAACTTTTATTTATAGCATGAATATCCACAGTCAACATAAGATCATTAAATACTGAGAGCAAAAAGAAAGAACATCAGCAACCCCTGTACAAATAGGATAAAACACAGGAAAGTGAAATATGCTACAAGGGACCTAAAACACATTGATCAAATCCACTTCCCATAGCAGGTAATATAAAAATGAAAAATGCCTAATTGAGGTCCTTTCATATCCTGGATGATGTACTCATTTCTGCATGATTTTTAAAAAATCTTCATTTATCACACCTTGACATCTTTTCTCTGGAACCATTTTTTCTGTTACTTATAAAGTCTTTATTTCTTAGTTCACACTTTTTCATAGAAAATTCTTTTTTCCTACTTATTTCTACTAAACCTATGTGTCAACAATTATAAAAAAAATGACAAATTAGTTAGTTTACCTCTTTTTACTTATGTAGACATGTTTGTGTAATTAAAATAAAGTATGTATGAAAAGTTTAATTTCACAATAAATTTTTCTTTATGTATTACTGTAATTGTAAATTTATAGTGAATGGGTCTAATAAATGCATGCATTCACCAGTCACCATGAGTTAGCAAATGCATACAGCTGAGGCATGGCTTAGTTCACATTGGAATATCGGCTGGCATGTGTTAAAACTACTGCAGAAAGTCACTCCAAGTGCCAATAGAACCAATTACCACATGTAATATGGTGTGATCATGTGCTAATCATTAGCCAAACACTGTTTACAAGCAATGACTCTCAAATTTAAATATATAGACTATAGCTGTCGATATGTAATATTCATTTCTATTGATGAAATTACTACAGTGTTTTTCCCCAGCATATGGCCTATTCACTAAAATTTGTTAAAAATAACAGTGAATTAATAAAGAAGTTTTAACCTATTGGTTTAATTATAAGCAAATCTTGGTTTAAAATAGTTAAAATTAACAAGATGTTAATTTTCACATATGACACATGGGCCAGAAATTTTGTCTGTTAAATTCAAAATCCTTTAAATCAAGGTCTGCAAAATCAAAGGTTTACTGTACTGCATTTACTGATGCTGCCATCTTGATGGGAATCCTTGGCTTCAATTCCTTATTTGTAGAATTGGATTTCCTTTCCATCTTAAATAATAAATTATTTGGTCACATTTCACAAGAAAAATATTTAAAACTACTTCCATATATTATTATTTTTCTTATTGTCTCTAATATACAGGGGTGGGCAAAAATAGGTTTACAGATGTGAGTGTAAAACTCAGAGCTTATTCTTATAAAGTTATATAAATGTTTTACTTTACTCTCATTCTCTACAACCACATCAGAAATACAACTGTATAAAAGAAAAATAATCATTCTGATCCACATGAAATATAGCTTAACAGAAATCCTACTACTAAGAATATAAGGAAGCCACAAACATTGGTAAGAGGGGCAGAGACACTGCACAGGCTGGCCCCACATGCATGTGTGGCAGATAAAGCTTCCCTAACTGGGTGAAGGAAATAGAATACAAATCCAGGAAGTGCAGAGAGTTCCAACTAAGATGAACCCAAAGAATCTCACACCAAGACACATCATAATTACAATTCAAAAGGTTAAAGACATATGGACCTTAAAAGAGCAAGAGAAAAGCAGTTACCTACCTATAAGAGAACTCCCATAAGACTGTCAGCTGATTTCTCAACAGAAACTTCATGCCAAAAGGAATGACAAGAAATATTTAGAGTGATGAAAAGCAAAGACTTGCAATCAAGATTACTCTGCCCAGCAATGATATCATTTAGAATTGAAGGACATATAAACAACTTCCAGGAAAAGAAAGAGTTAAAAGAGTTCAGCATCACCACCAAAGCAGTATTACATGACATGTTAAAGGGGAAGAAGGAAGAAGAAGAAGAAAAAGGAGGAGGAGGAGGAGGAGGAGGAGGAGGAGGAGGAGGAGGAGGAGGAGGAGGACAAGAAGAAGAAGAAGAAGAAGAAGAAGAAGAAGAAGAAGAAGAAGAAGGAGAAGAAGAAGAAGAAGAAGAAGAAGAAGAAGAAGAACAACAACAACAACAACAACAACAATAACAACAACAACAACAACAACAGCAACAAGAAGAACAAGAACAAGAGGATTAAAAATATGAACAATAAAATGTCAATAAATACATATCTATCGACAATTGCATCCACCTCCCCTCAGAAAAAAAAAACCCACACCCACAAAATAGAGAAACAAGCAGAACAGAAACTAACTCAGAGGTATAAAGAACATTTTGGTGGTTATCAGACCAGAGGAGGGTTGGGGAGTTTAGTAAAAAAGTTTGAAGTGATTAAGAAGTACTAATTGGTAGTAACAGAATAGTCATGGAGATGTAAAATACAGCACAAGGAATACAGTCAATAATATTCTCATTATGTATGTATTTTGTTAGATTGGTATAAGATTTATCAGGATAATAACTTAGTATTTTATATAAGGTCTAATCATTGGGGGCACTCCTTAAACTAATATTTAATATTGTATGGCAGCTATAATTGAAAAATAAAAAATATTTCAAACAATAATACAAATAAAATTGAAAATATTAATATTTATATCAATTCTATAGGTATAAATAGAAACTCCCTCTCAAACATTTGATATAAGTTTACCTTTCCTTTGTTTTATACATTTATTGTGAAAATATTCACACATGTTCATGCAGTTAAACAATAGTATCATTAATCATTAAGTGTCATTCAACCAGGTTCAAAAGGTGTTAGTCTATGACCAATGACCATTTTCTTGTACACACACAATCTCACACTGCCTTATAATTTCTTTTTATTAAAATAAATTTTTATTTACTTTAAGAGAGATAGGAATGAAGAGGGAAAAAGAGATAGAAACATCTATGAGAGAAAAATAGTGATTAGCTGCCTCTTTCATGCCCCCTACTGGGAACGAACCCACAACCTGGGTATGATTCCTGACCAGGAATCAAACCAGTGACAGCTTGGTGCAAAGGACAAGAGTCAACCAACTCAGCCACATGCACCGTGATGCCTTAAAATTTCTTAAGGACAAATGCGTGAAGTATTCTGAGACATGTCTTGAGTCAAACACTAATACATTTTAACACTTGTCTTTTTCTTCCTCCTCCACCTTGGCCTGCTCATAACCCCAAACACTGTCTCTACTCTGCTTTTTATTTTCTCTTCCAGTGTGCTACTATGCTGGTACGAGCCTGCCAGAGAACAGACTCAAAGTCAATGCTGAATGCCCAGCTCAGAGGGAACAGTGATGCTTCCTGCCAATGTGTTCACCAATGGCTGTGTATGGTGGCTCCATAATGGCTGTGTGTTCACCAATGGCTGTGTATGGTGGCTCCATAATGGCTGTGAGTGAGGCCCTGGTGTGTGTCAGGAACACTCTCCTGTCACTCTGGCTGGCGGTAGTTCTGTTCCTATATGGATGGTCCCAGGTTGTGCACTCCCGACCCCATGGTGCCCCAGAAGTGGTGATTCCCTTGAAGGTAGCAGGCTTTGGCATGAAGACTAAAGACTGGCTCTCTTACAGAATGCATTTTGGGGGCCAGAATCAGATAATCCACATGAAGGTCAACAAGCATTTTCTGTCCAGACACTTCCGAGTGGTTACCTACTCAGACCAGGGTGCTCTCTTTGAGGACCAGCCTTTTGTAAAGAATGACTGCTACTACCAGGGTTATGTGGAGGGGGACCCAGAATCCCTGGTTTCCTTCAGTACCTGTTTGGGGGGCTTGCAAGGAATATTACAGACAAATGACATTGTTTATGAAATAGAGCCCGATACACTTTCTACCATATTTGAACATTTCATATATAAAGTGGACAGTGAGGAGACACAATTGCCACCCATGAGATGTGGAGTAACAGATGAAGAAATAGCACGACAACTGAAGTTTCAGGAGAGTGTTAATTTCACTTTGATGCAGAGTGGGTATGAAGGCTGGTGGACACACAACCGGCTTCTTGAACTGGCAGTGGTGGTGGACCACAATCGCTATCTTCATCACCAAAGTAACACCACAGCTGTGCAGTATGAAGTATGCTTTATTGTCAATGAAGTTGAATATTTTTTATATTCTCTAGATGTTGATGTTGTTTTAATGGGAATTGAGGTCTGGACTGAAAAAAACCCTATTAAAATAGGTTCGATAGGTAATGTCCTGGGCACATTTTGCAATTGGAAGCAAACTAGCTTTAACAGCCGCCTTCCACATGATGTTGCACATCTTTTGGTAAAACATAGCTATGGTATTACTCTTGGCATAGCCTTTATTGGAACAGTATGTAACTTTACATATAATTGTGGAGTGGAAAGTTTAATGTACAATAAATTGAGTGCTGTTGCACACACTGTTTCCCATGAGATTGGTCATAATTTTGGGATGAATCATGATGACAAAACTTGTATATGTGGACATAAACAATGCATAATGTATCCAGTAAGATCAAATGGAATAAGATTCAGCAACTGCAGCTATGCTAGCTTCATCAACACCACAGCAGGGCAAAACTGTATGTACGTTTCATCAAATGCAGGGAACATCTTCACACTTGCACGGTGTGGGAACAGTGTGGTTGAAGAAGGAGAAGACTGTGACTGTGGCGCTTTACATTTGTGTATGGAAGATCCGTGCTGTGAGTCAGACTGCACTCTCAGCCCTGGGGCTGCTTGTGCTTCTGGGCTTTGTTGCAGACACTGTCAGATCGCTCGAAGAGGAAAAGTTTGTAGAAAAAAGAAAAATGAATGTGATCTCCCAGAGTGGTGCAATGGGACATCCTACCATTGTCCAGAGGATGTGTATGTGCAGAATGGGATCTCATGCAAGGGCGGTGGCTACTGCTATGAAAACAGATGCAATAACCGTGAAGAGCAGTGTAGGAACGTATTTGGCAAAGAGGCCAAGAGTGCAAATCAGAATTGTTACACGGAAATGAACACCCGAGGTGACCGTTTTGGGAACTGTGGTTTAATGAACGGTGCGTACATAAAATGTAGCATCTCAGATACCTTGTGCGGGAGGATTCAGTGTGAAAACGTGACAAAACTTCCCCTTCTGAGAGATCATTCTACTGTGCATTGGACTCACTTCAATGGCGCCACCTGCTGGGGTACCGACTACCACTTCGGGATGACCCTACCTGACATTGGTGATGTGAAAGATGGGACAGAGTGTGGGGCAGAACATGTCTGCATCCAAAGGAAGTGTGTCCATAGGTCACTTCTGGTAACTAGTTGTTCACCTAAGAGCTGCAATCTGAAAGGAGTCTGCAACAACAGGCAGCACTGCCATTGCAACTCGCAGTGGGAGCCTCCCTTCTGCCTGGAAAGAGGCCATGGAGGTAGTATTGATAGTGGCCCACCCCCTGGGAGAACAGTGAGACAAAAGACCAATTACCTGGGACCACTTTGGTTGATTCGTTTCATTCTTTTATTATGCTTGTTAATTTTGGGTTTTCTGACACGCAGAAGAACAGATAAGAGTGAAGAGCAGAATGTGGCACCTTCACATGAGTAAGAAGATCAAAATGTCAACACTTTACCTAAGGAGGAAGAGAAAGATATTGCAATATCATCTAAGGAAGAACAGCAAAATGTTCCACTGCATTTTAGAAAGAAAAGCAACAATTTACAATTTTTAAAAAGACGCCCAATTTCCTATGTATAAATTTTAGTCTCCTGGCTGTTACAGGAAAAATGCTACAGCATGTGTCACAAACCATTGACATAATGTCTGTGAATTTTTATTATTTGTAATCATAAAACATTGGTCATTAAATAACTGGCAAAATATCTTAATTCCTAGAATATCAATATCTTTCATGATTTTAAATAGTGTTTAATTTTCATGGAACTACTCTCTGTGTTTCCTGAGCAAAAGTACAGCTAATAAATACTGTGTCTTTGTGTGTTTTTAATTTGCTGTCTCAGTTCTAACTACCCTTCCCATTTGTACTCTGCTTTGTCACACAGAGAATGCAAACATAGAAATTAAATTTCTTTGCCAGTCCTCTCATTTTTAGTTTCTTCAATAATTGGCAATTGGGAAGCAGAGAGGAAACTTGGGAAATTTTCTGATTACTATTCATGCCAGTCATGCCTCATTAACAGCTCTAGTCTTTGCAAAGATAGTAACTTCCACATTATTACTATATATACTATATATACTATAGCATTGTGCAAAAGTGGGTTTACAGTTGTGAGTATGAAAAACAGAGTTTAATTTATTATTTATTAATTATTGTGTTATTTTCCATACAAATGACTGTCAACCTACATTTGGCCACCTCTGATAAGAACTTACAACTTTTGGGAGTAGAAAAAAGATGGCGACTGGCAGGAAAGAGGTGAGGGATAGGAAGTGAGTGAATGAGGGGATAAAAGGAGAGTGTGTGGATGTATGTGGTGTGTGTGTAAGTGAGTGAGGGACAGTTAAATCTGGCAGGAGTAGCAGGGGGTGGCAGACCAGGCTCTCTGGGACAGGGAGAGACTACCACTGCTGCGGCCACTCCCCAGACTGCGAGACTCGGGGCTTTGATCCCACACCATCTTGAAGGGGGAGTGGCCTCTTCTAGGAACTCATCATCACCACCCCCCAGACAGGCCTTGGACACTGCCCATGGCCCATCAGCCACTTCAGCCAAAATCCTGCTGCCCCACCCGCAGACCTGTGGACTCTGGGACCTTCACCTCCAAAGGTATACCACTCCCACAGCAGTAAGTGCAACTTCCCCTGCCCCAGCCACAGACCTCCAGAAGTCACATACCCACGTTTCCAACATTTGTGTGTTTCTAGCACACAGCCTTCCAGGGAGCACCACTCCATAGGCAGCTTTTGGGAGCTACTGTGAGCCCCCGCTGGGTGTGATTTTGTACAGACATGGGCGCACTGCCCCACAATAGAAATTCTGAATTCCCTCTTCCTGAATAACTGCCCACAGACAACCCAGCTGCGCAACTTCAGCGCCCGGGCCCCTCAGAGTGCGTCTGAGCTCTGCACAGGAAAAGGCACTGCCACAGTCGCACATTTCCAACAAGCAGGTACCCTGAGCCCATCTACTCACAGGGCACTCTGGGGAGCTGCTGTGAGCCCTGGCTGGGTGTGATCTTGGACAAACAGGGATGCACTCCCCCGGCAGTAGAAATTCTGAATTAACTCATCCTGAACTCCTGCCCACAGATGCCTTGATTATGGGGCTTCAGTGCCAGGGCCCTTCAGAATGCTTCAGTGCACCGCCATGCTGGCAAAGGCACCACGGGTGCCCCTGTGAGCAGTCACTGGGAGCGCGCACCTATCCACCACAGGTGCAGCAGCAAAAACCTGAGACTTCCCACCACACAGCTGCAGAACTCTGAACACTACAGGCACACGCTTTTCTGGCACGCAGGCCTCCCAAGCCCACAGCAGCTCTTGGATGCTGCTGTGAGCCCCTGCTGGGCACAAACTTATATAAACAGGAGAACACTGCTGGGCTGAAGAAATGCTGAATTCCCTCTTCTGGGATACCTGCCCACAGACACCGCAATCCTGTGGCTTCAGTGTCAGGGCCCTTCAGAGTGTGTCAGTACACTCTGCTGGAAAACGCACTATGGGTGTCCCTGTGAGTTGCCACTGGATGCTGCCCACCCCAAAACTACAGAACTCTGGACATCACAGGCATGCCTTTTTAGAGTGCAGGCCTCCTGAGCCCCACCACCCAACAAATGGTTCCTAGGTGCTACTGTGAATCCCTGCTGGGCATGCATGATTTCGATCAAGGGCACAAGACAACAAAATTGGGACAACCACTCCATGGCTGCTGACTTCTAGACACCACAGTTGCACCTTTCCAGCTCGCAAGCCTACATCAAGAGAACCCAAATAGCTCAATTAGGGAGCTACGCTAGATTATTAAGCCCAGGAGACTTGAGACATCACACCAGTAACACCATCCTCAAAAGAACCTGGATAGCAAAGCAAATGGATCTACAATTAAAACATTACAGCAAAACATGGGAAGACAAAAAAGCAATCCCCAAAGGAAAGAAAAAGAGGAATCACCAGAAGGGGAGTTAAATGAAATTGAGGCTAGTAACATATTAGAGAAAGAATTCAGAGTAATGGTTATAAGGATGCTGAAATGGCTGGATGACAAATACACACAACTCAATGACAAATACACAAAACTCAATGAGAATTATAAGGAGCTGAATGACAATGTCACCAACATGAAAAGGAACCAAGAGGAAATGAAGAATGACATAGCTGCACTAAAGAACACAATGGAAGGCTTAAAAGGAAGACTAGAAGGGGCTGAGGAACACATCAGTGAATTAGAAGACAAGGTAGGAAAAAACACATAACCATAGCAACAACTGGAAAGAAAATTTAAAAAGCAAGAGAAGATCCTAAGGGAGCTTTGGGACAACACAAAAAGAAACATCATTTGCATAATAGGGATACCAGAAGGAGAGGAAGAGAAGCAAGGAATAGAAAATCTATATGAATGAAATAATGACAGAAAACTTCCCTGATATTGGCAAGAAAAAAGCTATGCAAGTCCAAGAAGCACATAGAGTCCCAAACAAGATGAATACCAAAAGACTGACACCAAGACACATCATAATTAAATTGGCAAACACCAAAGACAAAGTAAGAATCTTAAAGACTGCCAGAGAAAGACAGAAAGTTACCTACAAGGGATCTCCTATTACAATATCAACTTATTTCTCAACAGAAACACACCAGACCAGAAGGAAATGGAATGAAATATACAAAATGATGCAAAGCAAGGGACCGAACCCAAGAATACTGTACCCAGCAAGGCTATAATTCAAAATTGAAGGTGGAATCAGAAGCTCCACATACAAAAAATGGCTAAGAGAGTTTATTACCACCAAGCCAGCAACGCACGAAATGCTAAAGAGACTGCTGTAAAAAGAAGAAACAGAATAGCAAGAAGAAACACAAACATTAAGAATAAAAATGACGACAAACAAGTACTTATCAATAATAACATTAAATGTAAATGGATTAAATGCTTCAATCAAAAGACATAAGGTAGCTGAAAGGATAAGAAAATATGAACCATATATTTGCTGTCTGCAAGAGACCCACCTCAGAACAAAGGATTCACACAATCTGAGAATGAAGGGATGGAAAAAAATTTTCAGGCAAATGGAAATGAGAAAAAAGCTGGGGTAGCAATATTTATATCTGACAAAATAGACCTCAAAGTAAAGGAGACCTCAAAGTAAAGGCCATAACAAGAAATAAGGAAGGCCACTACATAATACTAAAGGGAGCAATTCAGCAAGAAGATATAACTTTGCTAAACATATTTGCACCCAATACAGGAGCACCCAAATACATAAAAAAAACTTCTGGAAGATATCAAGTGAGAGATTGACAATAATACAGTCATAGTAGGGGAATTCAACACACCACTGACATCACTGGATAAATCCTCTAGACAAAAAATTCAGCAAAGAAACAGCAATCCTAAATGACTCAATAGATCAGATGGACTTAATTGACATCTTCAGAACATTTCACCACAAAGCTAAAGAATATACATTCTTCTCCAGTGCACACAGGACATTTTCAAAGATAGACCACATATTAGGACACAGGCAAAGTTTCTTCAAATTCAAGAGGATAGAAATCATAACAAGCATCTTCTGAGATCACAATGGCATAAAACTAGAAATAAACTACAATAAAAACAATGAAAAAATCAAACCTTGGAAGCTAAATAGTATGCTATTAAACAATGATTGGGTTACCAAAGAGATCAAAGAAGAAATAAAAAACATCCTGGAAACTAATGACAATGAAAACACAACAATCCAAAACCTATGGGACTCAATGAAAGCAGTACTGAGAGGGAAGTTTATAGCTCTACAGGCCTACTTCAAAAAAACAAGAAAAACTTGTAATAAATTATTTAACCTTGCAACTTAAAAAATTAGAAAGAGAGCAATAAGAAAAGCCCACAGTATCCAGAAGGAAAGAAATAATAAAGGCCAGAGCAGAAATAAATGACATAGAAACCAAAAAGACGATACAAAAGATCAATGTAACCAAGAGCTGGTTCTTTGAAAGGATAAAAGAGATTGATGAACCTCTAGCCAGGCTCACATAGAAACAGAGAGAGAGAAGACCCAAATAAACAAAATCAGAAATGAAAGAGGTGAAATAACAACAGACCCTATAGAAATACAAAGTATTGTTAAAAAATACTATGAACGCCCTGACCAGTTTGGCTCAGAGGATAGAGCATTGGCCTGTGGACTGAAGGGTCCTGGGTTCAGTTCCGGTCAAGGGAATGTACCTTGGTTGCGGGCACATCCCCAGTGGAGGGTGTGCAGGAGGCAGCTGAATCGATGTTTCTCTCTCATCTATGTTTGGAACTCTCTATCCCTCTCCTTCTCCCTTCCTCTCTGTAAAAAAATCAATAAAAAAATACTATGAAAAACTATACTCCAACAAACTAGACAACCTGGAGGAAATGGACATATTCCTAGAAAAATACAATC